CCTCTCAAAGTTTGATTGTACAATCGTTTGGATCGATGATCGGCAAAAATTACGTAGACTTTTGTCCAGTGAGTGTACTTCATAGACTTTGGCTCTTTTTATAACTAATTCCCACTCCAAGTTACTAGTCTAAAATCTGAACGTTCGAACAAATCCGTATTGTCAATAAAAGATAAAAGTTAGTATTTGTATGCGCAAGTTTTATGAGAAATACGTGGGTAGCTGGTTGCTGTAATGAGATGCTAACCGACGTTGAGCATGAACTTGTATAGAAAGAGTTATAGATTAGAAATTTAATCTATACAACGGTAATAGAGCTTCATTACGTTAATAAATTCCACAGCTCAATATCCACATACCTAACATAGTTCACGTGCTATTCAAGTTTCATAATGATTTCGCATAGCTCTGTATTTTTACTGGGAGCAAATTATTTGTTATGTTTGTTGTAACTAGGAAACGGCGAGTCCGGCGCGAAAATTCACATGATTTACAAGTAACCAATCAGGAACTTGTATCGCCAATTTTAATATTTTACATATTAATATTTTACATGAGATAAATGACCAAGGGCCACCATACCTTTCTACAGTCGTTTTATTAACTTTGATAAGTACCAATGCCACCATACCTTCCTACAGTCGTTTTATTAACTTTGATAAGTACAGTTACTGCCTTAGATGGGACCAAAGTTGTCCCGATCACGCCAATCCCATGTAGAGTGTGTTTACAATTACAATTCCCGGTTTGTCTTGCCTGGGCCATCACAGTGCAGGGAATTACCTCACCAAAAGCTAAAACAAATCTTGGAGCAAAAGAATTCGCAGGTCTTTCTTTTATAGCAGTGCATGCTCTGGATATCTTCTCTTTAAACTTTTCAGTTTGAAAGACTCGAACGAATCAAGCTTTGCAGAAGACTGCAAGAAAAAAGAAGTTAATTTTATTGTCACAAAGTAGCATAACGAATATTTGGTCGAGAAAATAATATGGATGCGTCATCATCAATCACAATCATTGATCGAGATTATGTGCCGGACAGAGGAATTCAAATTTTTCATAGTGCGTAGTAGACAGTAATAGTCCTTCGCTTTTCTCCGGACAATTAGCATTATTTGCGGGGTTTTTTTTGCTCTCGGACCAACTTTTTTGGCGCTTACCCGATTCCGTTCGCTGTTTTCCGAGGAACGGTGATACAAATATTAATACTTGCTCCTACCATAATAAAGCATTCGGCAATTAAAACGCAAACTACCATATATAAAAAATTCTAACACAGTATCTCATTTGATTGAAGCTATTTTTAGTAGATTATTTTATAACTTTAATAGGTACATGCGCAAGACAATTTTTATAATCGTTATTTATTACTGATGACCAAATTAGAAAGCACGCAATTTACGCAAACCGAGTAGACATATTATGTTAATAAAAACGCTGATTTGTATGATATCTTTGTTGAGATAGTAATGCAAAATATTAGGATTAATCCTAACGCTGGGAATCTTAATTCGATTGATTATGTTGAGACGGGACAGGAGGCCATGAAAAATTCTTGTATTTTAATAAATAACGTAATCAATTGCATCTAATAAATTTATTTTAATAACAATTTGACTGGTAACATACATTGTGGTGGGGCAAAGTAGTAGATTGTTTATATTGTTGTTTATGTCTAATAATAGATTGGAGTAAAATATTTCCGAAATTGCGATAGTTGGTTAAACCCACTGAATACAAATAAAGCAGCTTGCCAGGCAAATTATTATACCCGGTCAAGAATAAATGCTCTACCATAAATAATGAATAAACACGATATTATTTTATAATTGCATAATTCTTAGTACTATCTAATCAAATAGACTGTTAATAGAATTAATCTATATTAAAGTTATTATCGACAACTGCAATGTCGTTGTATGGCTAAACTTTAATCTCCAAAACAAAATTTATGATAGGAATTGAAATAGTCCTTTTTTCATATAGTAAAAAAATCTGCCCGGCACACGGCAGTGTATCGCGATTTACCGCAATTAATTCAAAGAATAGAAAACAAAAATCCTGATTTTTTAACCAAAATTAACTTTTATCCCGCTCGTGCAGAACAGTTACAACATTATCGTCTCATGTTACCAAAATGCAAGTCTTGCCGACCATTGATTTCTCCAAGGCACAAGCGTTTTTTCACACATATTTTTATCTTAATATTAAACGTGCTGTCTTTATTACAAATGAATATACTTAGATCTTGATAAATAACGTAAAGCAACGTTCGAAGAGAAACAGTAGTTACAGCATTGTTTAACAGCAAAGAATTTATTATTGCTAATTAAAATACATACTCAAAATATGTCTGCCTTATTTTAGTTGTAATAGTAAAACCTTTCGCCTGTTATACTCATCATATTTTATTGTAAATTTGTATGTAAATACTTAAAAACGAGATACGCTAACATTAACTCAATAATTTAACCAAAATAAGAATAATTCGATGAGTAGTCATTGAATCTTCATATTTGTAACGTAATGCTATTTTGCTCCAAAAACTTGTTGACTACGTTCTCATAGATTTCTCTTTGGTCAATCCAATGCTTTACATGCTCAGTGTTTTCAAACAGCAATTCATCTGTAACGTATCCCATGTCCGCACTCATTTTTGCTGTCTTTCTTACGGCTGTATACGGTACTATAGCATCTTTCTTTGAATACAGAAACAGCCTCGGACAATCTGTTGCCTTTTCATACAATAATGCGTGAACGATATACTGGACAAGTGGCTTCCGGCGAATGATGGTCAGATATAGAGTTATCCATGGCGTAGTCAGTAGCATAATGCCGGCGGTCATTAACATGGTTACAAACTTTTTAAAAGGATTCGTCTGAGTAGCAGTGTATAAGCGATAGAGGGTAAAGAAACCGACACCAGGAACAGAGTCGAGAATTATGGCCGAGAAACAAAACGGCAAGTTGTTTGCTTTTAGCATCTGAATCATGCCAGCGAGACCTCCACCGCCACCGTTTGAAAACACATGAGCGATGACTTTCGGTCTACGCCGAGTATTATTAACCACGTTGTTGTCTGTAACAGCAGACGTGGTGGAGGATTCGTTATCGAATACTTTCCATTCATACAAATACGGAATAAAGCCTTCACACAATTTTTCCGCCTTGTATGGAAAGTAAACATACGGAAAGTCAGGAGCAGTATAATACAAGATATGATAGTTTCCTTTCGCGCGCCAAAACGATGCGATTTTAGAAAGGTGTTTCAATTGGCCGTTTGTCCATCCAAACATAATGACTATGTCTGGAGCAGGTGTTGTCACTGCACATCGTTCCACGTAAAGTGTTGTGGCCGGTTTGATCTGGGTGATTGTAGATGTCATTAGATGAAGGAGGGTTGAGAAGCAGACTCTCCACTCCCGCTCGAGTCCCACGCCCGTTTATATAAAGACGAATAAAATTTAACCGCAGTCCGGCACTATAATACCCATCCGGATAATTGGAATTCCCAGTTGTGTGAAACGAAACGACAAATGAGGGAAAACGACTCGAGTATAGGGATTTTGTTGACAAACACATGAAAGTCAAAATGGGAAATCTGATCGAGTTTGCCACCGGTATGCGTTCGCTCTGTAAGTTGTCGAGAGAAAAAGCGAACAATAAAGTACTGCTTTGTATCAGCTTTGGGGTTTTGAGTCACGAGTCAAATTTAAATTCCCAGATTTCGACAAAAGACTATTAATTGATGCTGTATATCGAATTAGAGTATTCCATGTGTGTTGGCAATTGAGTTGGCAAACAACGTTTCCGAGTACTTTGATAAAGTTGAGCTGTACAACGTCTTTTCAAGTTCAGAAACAAAATGCGTATCCAACGTTTTGTGATACGTATAAGGAGAACGTTGTCTCCGTCCCGAATAAGTAATGTAAGCAAACAAATATTGAGTTGAAGTAAGAAAGGTACATCGAGAGTTTGAAAAAAAAAGGACAGCTATTATTGCAAACCTATCTCCAAGAGCGACTATTACACGGTCTTTTCATATTTCAGCTACACCATTGCATTCATTCTTTTCATTACAGGTAATCTATATTAATATATAATTTTTTTATTGTTTTATTTAACTCCTTGCTTTTCTCATATAAATTGTATTTATCCTCTTTTTTTTTTCAATCTATAATAATAACTATTTAGCAGTTATCTGTTTACTTTGTCTTTGATTAACATATGTAAAATGTAAATTGATGTGCCAATACATAATACAGTGTACTGTATAGTTTTTACCCACATGCAAACAAGTGCCAATTGATTGTCTTCTATAGAAGTCGCACAATTCTCATCAAAAATGACCTTTTACTTTGCCTGCAGTAATAGTAAAGGCCTATATAGAAAAACTGGATCCAAAAACACAAACACAAGTACAAGCTGATGATTTATTGTATATGTACTACTACAAGTTTTGCCAAGTCCGTCTATCATATATGCACAAGCTTTTACTATGACATCTATTTCCATGTGTCTGTTTCACCAGACTCTATTTACTATTGAAATCTATCATACTAATACCAAAGTATTAGTATAGTAATAGAGTCCCTACTCTGCAAATGAAGTAGAAGGGGTTTTTGTATATACAAAGTTCCTGTCTCTGCATTAAAAGGCAATAATAGTTGAGCTTGCTTTCAGTATTTGGCTTGGTGAATAGCCCATTTTTGACCTATAGAGTTTTTTCTTGTCAGAAGAAGCAAGAGCCTATATATATAATGATGATGATGATGAATGTACCTAGTACTATTACATACCTGAAATACAAGGACCCAAAACATAATATGTTGTAATGTTTGATAATTAGCCCAAGGTCAGCACTTTGTTGAAGTAAATTGCCCCCATGTCATTCCCAAATTGCTTCAATAGTTTCTTGGTTTATGGTTGAGTTTATGATTGATTTAAAATAAGGTGGGTAAAGTCCATATTATGTATTAATACTGAAATCATTGATTTTGAGAAGCTTAACATTCTGAATTAAAGTTCATGCAGAGATAATATAGCTGGTCAGTGAGCAGAGCACAAGATCCCTTGTTGTTATTGTTATGCCTTTCAGGATGAATGAGGTGATGTCAAGCTCCCAAGAGCAATAATTCACTGCTATCACTCTTGATTGCCTGCATCAAGAATGCCCTTGGATTGTATGCTGCATCGAATTCCTTAGCACCACAATTCTGCATCTCTTCAGATAACAGTTTCATGACTCCGACAGAAGATAAATAAGTTGCTGTTCACAACAGTCACCAGTGTGGTCATATAGGTGCAATAGCAACCCTTGATGTTGGAGAAACATAAAGAGTAGCTGTACTAGTACAAGCAAGTGAAGCAAGAACAACAGTTCATTTGATAGTATACTGGATTGACTCCACTTAAGTGCTCCCTCAGTTATCAGTAAGCTTGGATGTTGCTAGAGGTTAAAGTTGTGTTTTAAATAAACCATACATAATAATATTGTTGTACTCTAATTTTGGGAGAAAAAGTATAGAAGAAACTATGCATATTATAGGAAGAGTCCTTATAATTCAACTGCCTTCTTAGTATCTTTCTCTACTCCAATACCATGTCGATAATGTTACGGCAAGCCGATTTGATGAATCAGATAAGCGAGTAGGTGATAAAATCTTTCTCCGCAGTCGAACGAAATCCATGATCAACGTTATATTTAGAATTGTTACACGGCGTGATGCATTTTTTTTGCACCGTGATGGAAATGTCAGGCGCAGTAATATCGACGATTTTTTGAGCGACAGCACAAACGCTATAATTTTATCCGCTCTTTAATTATTTTCGTATCAGAAAAGATATAGTAGCTCATATCCCATCGCCGAAATACCAATGCTTGATAATTGATGCGTTGAAACAAAGAATAAGATCTTTTATCAAAGAAACAATATTTGAAAGTAAATTGTTTTTTTTTTCTTTTATCGCTGAAACATTAGTTAACCAGATATACCTATAAACGGCTCGCTTAAGCTGTAGCGACTGACATATAAACAGCTCATTTAAGTTGTAAAATATCCGTTGATTAATTACGCAAATAGCGGAAGGAGAGCCTATTACCAACATTGTAAATGATTATTGTTAAGTGACGTTTACCCCGACTAATCGACATACCACAATCGAGAATATTTGATTCCCCATCGATTATGTGACAAGTAATAACCATAAGATGCTTGACATGCCTAATATAATATAAGATGTATAATATCTGTTTCGTTTACTAGCATAGTGGCAAGAGTTTATACATCCTTATATTAATTGGGATTTTATTCTCATTGTGATAGGACGGGGAAAATTACAATATGATCTAGGATCGACAATTATAGATAGTGAAAGCGTGATAAACACCTGCAACGCTCACGCGTTATTTACAGTATATAAATGATGTAACCACACGTACAACCGCATTCGCACTCATATAGTTGCACACAGGCATCTCATACAACCGCACTCCGCACTCATATAACCGCACTCCGCAACCACAGGCATTTCACCAGTAGGGTTTATCGAAGCTCATATCTTTTATTGTCCAAGCACAATCCGTGCTCTCACGGAAACGACAACGCCGACGCCGGTGTCAACAACAATGTAAAACAAGGGTTACTTTTTGGTCTTTAATGACTTGAGTCCACCCATATGTGCTTAATAGAGGACTCAAAAGCTCTCATATAACCACGCATTGCAGGCACGTTCATATAATAATAACAACACGCCACACACTCTCTCTCAAACGCAGTAGCAAAGAGAGATTAATACGCATAGCGTATAACACAAGCATATCATATAACCGCTTCGAATACCATGAGAGCTGTAAGTATGATTGGAAAATATTATTATGGAAAAATGATGTTTTATATTAACCACTATCAATATGTTTGTTAGGCGAATGATGATGACCATCCCACCACGATATGATGATAAAAATCTAGCTAGAAACGCAAATTGGGCACTGGATCAAATATATCGCAGCACGTGCCGGGAGCCGTTGAGGTCAGTCTTCAAGAGATGTTTTCCAAGAGAGTCTGAAGAAGTGAGAAACGTGAGAATTCGCATAATGTGAGTTCGCTGGTGATCAGGTCTGTCGCAGGCCTCGACATTAAACTTGATGTAACCGAACACTTTGTTGCCCCGGTCACAATGACATTTGTGTGCTTGGAAGAAGATAGACAGGTTGTTATATTAGATAAATTTGTCATTTTGTAGCATTAATTATATACACATAATTTGCATTCCCATACAGCTCAAGCCCCGCTCACACTAATTAATGAAGAGAGTTGTTTTACTATCGCCGGGCGATATTAAAAAAATATTGCGAATCCCTCACTTAATAGGAGGGTGGTGTGCGTGGAGATCGCTGCTGCCGGGCGATATACTATCATTACAGGCACAAAATGTTCATTCTGATCAACAAGTAGAAATTTATTATCTCAGTTGCATAATAATAAAGCAGTATGTGAACAGGGCAGGTTAATTATGAATATGAGATAAATGGCAAAAATCCTAATGGCACTCTGAGCATGCTTAAAGATTACTTGTAATAATAATACGGGAAGACAGAAAAAAATGCATTAAACGCGTATTCATTGACCTTGTTCTTCCGAATATGCTTTAACGATTTCCATTTTGCCTGTGAGATTAACCATCGCTGCTTTACATTGTTTGTATCCGCAAGCGAAGTGCAAGCTAAAACTTATTTACTGCATCTCTGTTATTATTATGTTATTTTAACAACCGAACCAGGTTAAATTGTGAAGAATGACGCTTTACACACATAGCAATAGTAGTAGTAGTAGTAGTAGTAGTAGTAGTAGTAGTAGTAGTAGTAGTAGTAGTAGTAGTAGTAGTAGTAGTAGTA